AGTGGAGACTACATCCATCCGTGGTTGCGCAGATTTGGCAACGGTTCGGCGAAGCTTCAGTGGATCTCTTTGCCACCAAAGCCAACACCCACTGTCCCTATTCTTTTCCATAACGGATCACAGCGCTCCATTGGGAGTGGATGCCCTCGCTCACCCATGGCCCAATGTGCTTCTGTACGCTTTTCCCCCAGTGGGAATGATTCTGCCAGTGCTGGAGAGAGTACGCAGATGGGGCCTGTCTTTGATTCTGGTGGCCCCTCGCTGGCCGACAAGGTCATGGTATGCGGAAATAATCAGCTTGCTGGTAGTGGAACCTTGGAAACTCCCTGTCCGCCGAGACCTCCTCTCCCAGGCAGGGGGGGAAGTATTTCATCCGCACCCAGAATTGTGGATGCTGCATGCCTACCTGCTGAGAGGTCCAGTTTGTTAGCCAGAGGCCTTCCTTTGGATGTGGTTGCAACCATTCAGAGTTCCAGAGCAGCTTCCACTAGGGGTTTGTATGCCCATAAATGGCATGTTTTTGAACAGTGGTGTCACGGCAGAAAACATTTCCCCCTTCCAGTGCTCCATTGTGGATGTCTTGATATTCCTACAGGGGCTAGTGGATAAAGGTCTGTCTTTCTCCACAATTAAAGTTTACTTGGCTTCCATCTCTGCATGCCATGTTGGCCTTGATGGAGGGACACCAGGTGCTCATCCTCTGGCTGTGCGTTTCTTAAAAGGGGTCCGTAGACTGAGACCAGGGATAAGATCTAGCGTTCCTTCCTGGGATCTCACTGTGGTCTTGGATGCTCTTTGTAGCACTCCCTTTGAGCCCCTTGAGTCGGTTGATTTGAAATTTCGTCATACAAGACAGCTCTGCTTCTTGCTTTGGCGAGTGCGAAACGGGTTGGGGACCTGCATGCACTTTCGGTGCACCCCTCTTGTGTTCAGTTTTCAGCTGATGGTTTAAAGGTCACCTTAAGGCCAAATGCTGCATATCTCCCTAAGGTGATCCCTTCAGATTACAGCATGATGACCATTGAGCTTTGCAGTTTTTATCCCCCTCCTTTTGCTTCTGATGAGCAAGGAAGGCTGCATTTTCTGTGCCCAGTACGTGCACTCAGTCTTTACATCAATCGCACTCAGGATATCCGACTGTGCGATCAGCTGTTTGTGTGTTTTGCAAATCCAGCCAGAGGCAAAGCTCTCTCCAGGCAGAGACTTCTCATTGGGTCGTGGAGGCTATTTCTCTGGCTTACAACAGTAAGGGCCTCCCTTTACCACGTGGTGTGAGGGCACACTCGACCAGAGGTGTGGCGGCATCCTGGGCCCTTTTCAGAGGGGTCCCGGTGAGTGACATCTGCGCGGCAGCCAGCTGGTCTTCACCGCACACTTTTGTTCGGTTTTATCGTCTGGATGTGACAGCCCCTACTGTGGCTCATTCTGTTCTTTCCGCTGGGTTGGAGGTTTCAAACTAACTCAGTGCATTTATATTAGGTTTGATGGCTGCTCTGCGGGGCGTGTATATGTCCCATACTCTATGTGTTGTACCGAGAATCGACTGAAAGGGAACGTAATGTTATGCATATAACTACTGTTCCCTGAAGGAGAGGAACGAGGTACAACACCTTTCTGCCCCGCATTTCAGCTTGGCTCGGTGAAGAGCTGCCATCGAACTGAATAATGACGGTGATGTGGTGTATTTATATGCGGGCGGGCCTGCCACCCGTCATCACACGTCATTTGCCTAAAGGCGTGATTAAAGGTGTCTTCAGTTGGGTCACGTGGGAGCGTGATATCCCATACTCTATGTGTTGTACCTCGTTCCTCTCCTTCAGGGAACAGTAGTTATATGCATAACATTACGGTTTGCTGCTGTCGGACAGATGGCAGGAAGGACAAGCGGACGTATGGATGAATGGACTGACAGGAGGACAGACAAAAGGACTGATGAATTGAAAGATGGACAGATGGATGTATAGATAGATGGCCAAACAGAATGAATAAATGAATGATGATGAATGAACTCTTAGCGGTAAATGAGGAATAATAAATAGCTCTCAGATTTCTGTTTCTATTGAGCTGTTCACTCTTATGAACAACTGTATAAGAGAATTACAATAGCTAGCCCTGGATATTAGTTGTTCTGTTCATTTTATTTGGAACAGTAAGGTTTTTAAATCACTACTTTTTTTCCCTTCACTTTCTGAGGTTGTTTTTACTCATTTTAAAGACCAAGTAAGGACTAGAAATTTATCTTATTCTGTCCTTTCAAATATAAACAACAATCTTGAATTAAAAGGAGGTGTCCTTACTTTTCACCATGACCGTATGACCCATTAAACGTCTTTCGAGTCCATGTTGACGGAGTCACATGGACCTTCCACTGAGGCCTGCTCACTACAGCTGGCTGCCGTCCAAATTAAATTCACCTCTGGTCGAGAGGAACACAGAGCGCTGTCTGATGACGCATGAAGTCGTGTTTGGATCTGCAACAATCTGAGAGTACCATGAGCGACTGTGTCGGCCTCAGAGAGGGTACGAGCAGTTCATTAGTTATCTCCCCTCCAGCAATTTTGCCTTCAGGATTGGAAGCAGACACCTTGTGTGCCAGAAAACAGCTACAGCACACAATAAAGCACGTAGGCAAAGGCAATGTGAACTTTAACCTGGAAAGCTTTTGTCCTCCACATTATGTGTATGTTTATGTGTGCATGAGTTGTGCAAGCTGAGTTCTGGCTCCTGTGTGAATCCGAAAGCAGCAGAAAGGGACTTTTTGTTTGTGCCCATTCAGTATTTTTGTCTTTGTATAATCCTTCCATTTTTGCAATCTCTAACTATTTTATTTAGAAACTTCCCTACATGAAAAGCTACTTATCAAGTACTTCTTTTTAAACTTAACATAAAATTGCAACATACAATACAAAAGTTTAAAACTAACCTTTGTTTCTTTATGTGGTGCGTTTAAAGACAGATTTCCTGTCGGTATCTGAAGTTGTCAAATTGATTCTTTGTTTAATTATGTTTAGTGACTGAACTTTACTATAATTCTATGACTTAATAATTAATCTCTACACTCTCGATTGCTGATCAGTTACAGTGTTTTTGCATAAACACTCACGCAGACACGCACACACACAAAGGAGTGCATTTACACACATTTGTACAGTGGTTTTCCTGTATAGAAGGAGCAGTGTAGGATCAGAGGAGTACATGCCCCCGCCTCCTCCGGCTTTCACCTAACATAAGTGGAACCTTGTAAAAACACAAAAACACCACAGTTTCCACTCGCATATAAACTTTAATGCTGCGCCTAATATTTCTTCCCCATCCACCCACATCTGAGTGCATGCAAGTTTGTAAACTGTGACAAAACCTTAAAAAATAAAATAAAGTAAATTAAACATCCTATAGCTTTCTTTAGGATGTTATAGGACTGACTGAGCATGGCTACATAGCTGCAGCAAAATAATCAAAACCTATAAAGAAATCCTACTTGGAGATGTAGTAACAGGAAATAAGCTGTACATTTCCTTTTATTTTAAATAAACATCTGTTTTGTTTTGTTTTTTCTTTTTAAAAGCAGATGAAAGTGTAGCCGTCTCTCTCCTACAGGCCCATATTTATACATACAGCAGGAATAACTCACACACACTCCCCTCGCTGCAGTGCAGGCAGCATTGCGTCATGTTCTAGAAACGGCTCCTGCTCTGGCGTTCGGCTCTGGACTTGACGGTGTAACTATGGCATTATGCGGCGCGCTGCATCATATCTGCTCCAACGGGCCTATCCCAAGCAAAGGAGGCTTGCAAACATGGCCTCTGACGCACCGCATGCAGCTGCTTCTGTTTATCAGCCAGCTTTCATCTTATTTTTTTTCGTTAATGTCCAAATAGGTTCAGGAGTCAAACTGTATTATTATACTTCGGTCATATTAGGAATGATTCATTGGATAGTTTTTATGTTGGGTTCAAAGTATATTCAAGAGTTGCTGACTCTGATATTTAAGATCTATTTTAATTAAACCATGTAGTTTTTAAAGTGATTATTATTTAAAATAGCATTTAGAAAACTTAAAAAAAATGTATTGCACTGAGAGGCCCTCAATGCACAGAACCTCTATGCAAACTGGTCTTTATATATATATATATATATATATATATATATATATATATATATGTCTATATATATATATATATATATATATATATATATATATATATATATATATATATATATATATATAATATATATATATATATATATAATATATATATATGGTCTATATATATATATAATATATATATATATTATATATATATATATAATATATATATATATATATATATATATATGGTCTTATATATATATTATATATATATATATATATATATATATAATATATATATATATATATATATATATATGTGGCCGATCTTGTCATATTTAACCTCTCTGACTGAGAAACAGAAATCCTTAAAAAAAAAAAAAAAAAAAAACAAGCTGTAATCTCCAAGAAAAAGATTAAATTTAACTTCATTCTTTGCCAAATGTCGGACAATAAACTTCCAGAGGAGATCCAGCACTGACCAAACATATATTTTGACAAAGAAAAACAGAATACAGCTGGCAAATCCACATAGGTTTTGACACCTCTTTCCCCATGCCTAGTCTCTAATTTCTAACCTTTCATTTTGCTGTAATTCCCCAACTCAACAATGCATTTGACTCTTTTTACCTACCAGCCTTTAATTACAGTTCAATCAGCCCACACATAGCCTGTCAATGAATGCTGATAGATGTTATGTGTACATAACATCAGCCGACTTCTGAGCAAATTTTCTCCAGTGACTGTTTCTACACACGTCACCATAAACAACATGGTATCGGCATGAAACAGACAGCTAGTTTCCGTCCCATTTTTTACAACTTTTCTATTAGACTGGTTCAAAATAATCATACCTGAAGTAGTGACAGAGCAGATGAAGGAGGGAGAAAAAAAGAAGACTGGCACTTACTTGTCTGACAATGAGTCTGCGACCAGCATCTCCCCCTGAAGTGGCCGTTGATGGTGGTCTGGGTGCAGTGTGTCTGGCCCTGCGTCGTGCCGGGACACACGTCTCCACACTCCCGCTCGTTCTTATTGGCCACGATGAAGTTGTCCTCCACCGAGTCCAGGATCATGGACCAGTCCAGGGTGGCCAGGTAGCACAGGTCTGGGTTCTTCTCTATCCTCACGGCGCCCCGGGTGATATTCATGAGGCTGTGCAGGCCCACCTCCTTCAGTTGCAGCATTTCGTAAATCACCAGGGCGTAGTTGAAGAACAGGTTGTTGCCACGGATCACCGTCAGGTTTGGGAAGAGGTTACTGAGGGTCTCCAGGCCGTAGACCCTGAACAGGAGGACGTAGTCGGTGACCACTCGCAGCTTTGGGAAGCTGAGGCCATGGAAGTCGCCGGACTTGGCCCCAAACATGAGCAGGATCTTCAGGTGGCCTTCGATGATGGTGCAGTTCTCCAGTGACTGGAGGTTGGTCACGTTGTTCCGGATGTTTTTGCTCTGACAAACTGAACGGGGAGAAAAGCAAAAATAAATAAATAAGATGCCAACCATGTAACAATTTATTGATCTGAACAATTGATCTCATTTTAATCTGGGACTATGGTAATTTATTCATTTTATTTGATCTTAACTCATAAATCACAGACCTTCACTACGAATATATGGACGACAGATCCAAGGCAGTCAGGCTTTAAATACAGGACCATCAACTAGAGTTTTTTGTTGCTGTTTTGTTCTGATTTGCTTTAAAACAAGGGAAGCCATCTGATTGGACATCTTCATCTCTCCTAACAAACCAACAGTCCTCTTTCTGCAGAGAGGAAGTGACTGCAATGCCCTCTCTGATATGAATGAAGTAGACATGAATGGGTTAACAGAAATGAAGCCTTGAAGCAAAGTGCTTATCCCAACTCATTCATAGTCTCTAGTCGCTGTACACTGGAACACACACACACACACACACACACACACACACACAAACAAACATCAAATGCATGAGCCAGACGCTCAAACGCATTAAATATGAGGAGAATTAATGAACAGCCAGTTACTTACAGACAGAATGTGAAAACCAAGGTTACTTTTTTTGCAAAGTACAATACAAATTGCTGGGATATGTTAGAGCAATCAAGGAAAAATGTGTTGGTTGGGGAACATTCCTTGAAAGCTAAAGAATCTGATGTTTTTCTGCCAAGATTGTGTGAAAGAAAAATTAAAAGTTTGGATGAGATCAGGAAGAAATCAAATTTCCGTCTATTCTTTTTTCTCTCCTTTCAAAATTCTTCAATTTCTTCAGCAGTTTATCTAATAATAAACAATGAAACCATAAAAAAAACAATAATAATTCTTCTGTCTTCTAAATCGAATGTAGGTCAAATGTAGGGATCTTAGAGCTGGACTGATACGCTGATCTCTTTTTGTTTCAGTAAGGACCCTTGCAGCAGCATTCTGGAGAAGCTGGAGCTGTCTTATTGCTTTTTTTGATAATCTGGTAAAAATGCCATTGCAGTAATTGACTCTACTAAAAGCAAAGGCATGAACTAATTTTTCTGAATCTTGTGAGGACATGAGTCATCTTATTTCAGCAATTTTGGGGGGAAATGAGCCATTTACCCAAGCATTGGCTTTACCTATTTATCCAGGTAGTTCTTCCAATGTCTTGCACATAATAATATATTTTAACTAGTTTTAGAAATGTAAAAATAAAATTTCACTGGTGAGAAAAGAGAAAACCTTTTTAAAATGATCTTCTCCTCTTGATTGAAGCATACCGCAAGTTTAAAGTATTATTGTATATCGTCAGACCCTTCCTGCTGAACTAAACTCACTCCCTATCTACAGTGAGAGCAATAATTAGGAAGTTTAAAATAACTGAAGCTGTGAAAAAAGGCTGGACAGAGAACCCAGCTTATTTCACCACCACAGACAGTGAGAGTGCGAAGAGAGTTTGAAAACTAAAGCTCACAGTTTAAAGCACTGCAGCAAAACGTTTCGTGGTGAGATCATACTACTGCAACAAAATTGAGTTTTATTTTAAGCGTTTCTACAAATCTTTGCTATTAACACTTTCGGTTATTGTTCCTTAGATTTACTGATTTATTGAAGCTTTTCAATCCCTACACAATTGTCATGACTTCAGCGTTTCTGCTCCACCTTCTGCGCTGATTGCTCATCACTCTCACCTGCACTGTGCTGCTCCCTATTTATACAGCTGATTTTCTCCAGCTCAGTGCGAGATCGTCTGTTAACCTTGTCACAGCTTTCAAGCCATTGTTTCATGTCCCAAGGAGTTTTCTGGTTTACTGATCCTGCCTGTTTTTTGACCTTAGATTCTGCCTTGTCCTTCGGCTGCTGAAAGTACTCTGATCTCCTGTTAAAGAACCCTGCATGTCGCCGACCCTGCCTCCTGCTTGCTGTTTGCTGGATTATCTGTGCCTGTTGCTCTCCTGTGTATGACCCTGGATCGTCTCTCTACTCCGTCTCTGGTTTGTGGACTTTGCCCCTGTGGTCTGTTTGTTCTCTGAGCCCCCAAGACTGTCTGTTGTCCTGTCATCCTACTTCGTCCCACCCCCGGCTGGATCCCTGTCCCCTGTGGATCCCTCCTCCCTTATCTGCTCATTTTTTCCCACCCCGTTAAGTCCCATCGAAATTATTATTTTTTTGTCATTAAAACTTCTGATTTAACTTTCTCCTGTGTTGGCTGCGTTTTGGGTTCTGGCTTAGTTTGCTTACCTTTACAACAATGGCATAATTGCTGTGAAGCTCCATTAAAAGCAATAACAACAATAAAAATATATGTTTCTGACATGAATTAAATAACTAAACCTCTCTGACGCACCAAATTTTCAGAAAGACGATTTACATTTGTTTTCCAAGAATGCAAAAACTGTTTCAAACAGTGGTGGTGTCTCTCAGAGCTAAAACGGCAAAGGAATCGAGCTCTACTCTAGTTTTCCTTTGAAAAGAACCCAAAATTGCAGTTACTTTGTCAATTTAGATCACCTTATCTAACTTAATTGCTCATTTTCATTTCACTGTAAACATATTAATATGTTTACAGGAACTGCTCATCCTGATCAGTTCCAGGATGAGGAGGAATACAGATGAGAATAAAAGCATAAACAGAGTATAAACACAATCAGGTATTGTTAATCTTTGAGTCATTTTAAAAATGCCTTTGCTGTCTCTTGCCGCTGTGTGAAAACTATGGTTGACTCCTGCAACCAAAGTCATTCGTATAAATCAGTCCAACAAAGTCGGTTGGACTGATTGCAGTCAATGAACATCTGAAAGACGTAATTAGCTTCTAGGCTCTCGCTGATGCACATGACAAGTATCAAAAATTAGTCAAAGAAATTGATCAATGCTAGACTGAGAAAGTGTGAGTATTTCAGCAGAGCTGTTATTGCCTTTGATCAGTTCCAGGATGAAGTCAGCTTTTCTCTTCCTCATTCTGTAAATTATTTGCCGGACGTGCACAACAATCCAGGTACAAAACTCATAGCAGAAAAAGGGTCAATGAAAGACTTTAATTACTTCCTGTGGTGGCAAGAAGCCAGTAATCCCAACAATCTTTACTACAACTACATGTTGCCAAGTAGAGCCAGTCAGTGCTCTGCTTAGACAGGGGGAAAAAAATCAAAACTTCAAAAAGGTTAGAATAGAGTTTACTACATTTTAACAACTCTGTGCCTGATAACACAACCAGGGATACATCTGTTAGAGCTAAGAAAGGTTTAAATGTAAGGCACCTGAAATACACAATACTGCTGCTGTAATACATTTCAAACACTGAATGAAATACAACCTATTGTGCAACATTTAATAAAACAACCTTTTTAAGTGACTAGCTGGCAACAACTTGACAAACTTGAATAAATTTCAAACACCAGAAGTGTTAACATTCGATGCAGAAGACGCACCAAACAATCACTAATAAAATCAATTTTCTTATCATTGGCTAGAATTAATTCTCAGAAAGATTTTTCCTCCCATTCATTAAACACATCGATGCTTATAACTCCTACTTCTGTTGGTCTGTCAAAAAATTATTAGATCTCCCAAATCTATTATTAGACCAGCCGCAATCTGGCCTGGATTATCCTCCTCTAAAAGTACATATTTAAAACACAATTTTATAAACTTTGATACAAGAAATGTTGTGTCAGAGCTTTGATTAGGGTGATTATAAAATGCAGGTTACCAATCTGAGGTGCAATTGTTTAGGGGCCAAAAAGTTACTCAAAAAAACTAAACTGAATGCAAGAATCAAGGATAAAATATGTGCTTTAATTATAAATAACAGAAATTTACAGAATTTTTAGAAATTCTGAATTTTTTGTCAATCGAATCTGTAAACTAAAAAATGTTTCAACATTCATTTTTTCTGGCTTATCCTACTCTGGAAAATGATCAAAGACAATTTGAGACTGTGTGAATCCTGCAGGTCAGACCTCAAAGGAAATCAGTATCTGCCAGAAAGAGCCTTTTAAGTGAATCCCAATCAAATCGTTTATAAGTGCTGGCATGAACCATCCTGAGCATCATTGTCATTTCTTTCAGTCACTATTAATTTGACAAAGTTGAAAAGACCACAACAGGGTTAAGTTTAAAAGATTTATTTAAATTCTCCCTCAACAGCTTGCAGGGAAAAGCCAAATCATCCATTTCTCCTGATAAGCATCTCATAACATCTGAATCACCAACAGGGGTTTGGCTTGGCCACGCCTTCCACTTCCTTTATTGGATACTAACCGTATCAGGAACCAAAACACAAAAACACACTTCCTCTGCGTGGCAGCTGCCATTGTTACCGGTGATAACAGCAACCTTACACCTTTTTCTACGCCGCGTGCCTTATCTGCTGGACACATCAAACAGGGCTGCAAGGCCTCCTACTCACTCTCAGTCACTGGCGCTAACTGGATGCCTATTGTGAAACATGACAACAAAACAAAAAAGGGGTTACGCAACAGCCAGCGGGGCCATGGTGCGAGAGGGGGCCCCTCAAGACGCACCAAGCGGACACAAACATAACCTTTTTCGGCCCCACGTCTTTCGTGGAGGACAGGTTGGCGTTAGTGAGGGGAAGCAGACTGACCTCAGTGAAAATGTAAAATGGAGTCTTGTTCTTGACTGACAGAAGCAAAAAAAGGAGGGGGTTGGTCATCAGAGGGTAGATGTGAAAGAGCTGAGATAAGGGGGAGGGAGCAGGAACCCCTCTGTCTTTAAAATAATGAGCAATCTCCTCCCTCTCTGCTCTCTAGTCTGGCATCCATGATAAACGGCAGAAGACGAGGGGAAAACACGGGTCGAGGATGGAAAGGGCTCTCAAGGGGGAAGTTAAAAAAAAAAAAAAGAGGAGAAAGTGTAAGTTAAGCCCGATCAGGAACGCAGAGTGACGTAACAAACCTACGGAGCGGTTGGTGATCACATGCATGACTGGAGAGTCGCTATGGACCACAGGGACAAGACATGCAACAGTCTGCAGGGGTGGAGGGAGAGA